ATAAAGAGGCCAAATGGTACGCAATACAAATATATAAAAATGATGAAACCAGTTCCTCTTGTACATTCGCTTTTCCACTCGTCCTGGAAAAGAAAGAAATGGGGATGCAAGCTCAAAATTTACTCATATCTATATAATGCAGCCAAACATTAAAAAATCTGACATTTATGCGTGTATATAGCTTGTCAGAGCGAGAAGAATTGCATAAAAATGGTTTCTTTAGATTTTTAAACTTAAGTACGCATTGATATGTATATTCATAATACGTTCAGTAATTAATTTTAGTAAAATACGTCAGATAAATTTGTTATCGAAGAAATAGAATTAAAAATGCTAGTTAACAGTCGTTCAAAACGGGAAATGAGTGAAGGAATGAATTTCAAAACTTTCCACACCAATTAACCGTTTAGGTGCTCCGGAAACTTAATAGTTTTCCAGAGCACTTCGTTTTTATATCGAACAGTGGATATCAGTGAGGTTTTATTGTCTTAGTTACTCATTCTGGATTGAGTGGAATTTGTGGGAAGTGTGACGTTCGTCTTTTGGTTGGGAATTCGATAGAGAAAGGGTTCTCTTTTAAGTTGGCGGCTTTTAACTGATTAATGCTGATGTTATCTTTAGTCCTGTTTTTATTGACGGTATAGTACTTGGGCTCGCGACGGAGATCCTTGTGAAGTCTTTGTATGTGGCTTGGAGTGGTTGACTTAGTGAGTCACGAGAAACAAGAATGGGCTTGTAAGACAGCTTGGATGAAAACGTTAGTTTGTTGTGGATGGGTAGAACATTTACAACTGAGAGTGTCGCCCTTGTAAACCTGAGGTAACTCGAGTGGGGGAGCATCACTTCACTATGACATGTTGGAGATTGAAACTAAGGCTTTCAACTGTCAGCGAAATCGTCCTCCTAAGCCATTAGCATGTGGATGGTAATCAGTTGTTCAGAATGCCGTGATTCCTACGAGTTCAGTGAGATGGCGGGAAAGTTGAACACGCACCTACTCTCTGTAATGATAGTTGAGGAGCAAGCGCAGTTTGCCACCAGTTGTTCACTGAATGCATGAGCCACTGTTCCGGCGGTCATATCGTTGACAGGTACTGCTTCTGGCCATGGTGTGAAATGATTCGCATATCAGGAGGAAAGACTATCCGTTTGAATCATGTAACGGATGTGGTTGAACTGAGAATCAGGAGTTGAGAAGGTAGCTTGGGCACATTTGTTGTGACTAATTACCTAAGATTTCTGGTAACTAACATAGGAGGAGCCCTCACATCTTTTTTTATAGAACGCCGGCAAAACAGTCCTGCTGTCAGTATGTTTGCTCAAACACAAATGACAAAGTTTGCGCAACGTACTGAAAATATTTTACTGTTATATTGCATTGATAATATTTTGACTATAACGCAAAGTAAAGTTTCCTAACCGATCTTTATCCCTTTGATTTGTAGTTTCTGATTCGCGAATGGTTACTCGCGCTGAAAATCGACATATTCCTTTTGAGACTGAGCGAGTTTAAGAAGGTCATTTCTTTTAAAATTGTTCAAGGAGATTATATGGGACAAGGTGTCTGCCACGTTTACAGCACAAAACATAGCCAAGAATCTGGAAGTCTGAAATTTTAGGAACATGCCTCAACCATTATCTCTAAATCCAGACGACCAAACGGGTTTATAAAAGAGAACTTCTTGACAAGCGAGGCTAAGCTTACACTCTTGAAAATGTGTATAAAGCCCTCACTTAATATTGTTAACTTATCTGACCAGCAAACATTGATGGTGTGAGCGATAACTTCAAACAATCCATGTTCGTGGGGCAGAACATTTTGTTTGCTTTCGGCTCTTTAGATTGATGAGACAACTAATCGGGAACACTGAGGTTGCTCTTATAGGCTTGCTACTTCTGTGGTTCATGTTTCCAAAACTATGCTGAGGTCGCTATTCTGTCGAGACACCCGCAACATTCCTACTCAGGCGCTTACAGTATGACTTAGAGGTTGGCATTCAATAATAATAATAAAAAAACAGTTAGACAGTGCGAAATTTTGTTTATCAAAGTTTTATTTTTACAAACTCTACTCTTTCAACTAGAATTTCGATTTCAACGTACATAAATCCAGCTTCTTACTTCGACTTCTCTTCTATCCATCTGACACTGCACAACTCTTCCTTCTTTTTGCTGTACTCCTTTATCTGTGTGTTATATTCTTATATTCCCATGATTTACTTTAATTTAAGTGGTCAGTATGAATTTTATCTTGACTTACTACTGTATTGACTACTTCAACATGACAGGTTAAGTAGTGCTTTGGTTATATATACACTTGCTACACTGCTGCCTTTTTCTCTCTCTCTTCTCCTTTTCAGAACCCCATTCACGGTGGGAAATCCTTGGCGACTCTAGGGAGCATGCACCCAATGTACATGACTATCTGGATCACAGCTTATAGCAAGCGCGTTCCATATGACCTTTCCCAACAAATTCACTATTGATCTCGGCAAATTGCCAAAAGAACCTATTGTGCACCTTCCTTCCTTATTTGTACTCTACTATTGAAAATATGGCTGTATTATTCTGTTTCTGTCAGTGACATGGTGTAAATATGCAATCAGAAAATGACTGTTATACTTAATTTAACTGCTATAACTTTACAGTAATCGTGAAAGCATTTGTGACGATTTGATCTAGCCTGTAAACTGGCGTGGCTCTTGTAACGTAGTTATTTGAGAATAAATTATTATTATTATTATTATTATTATTATTATCTTTTCAAACATGAATTTCATGGACAAGATACGAGTAGAAAATATCCAAAGAAGCTTCACTCGGCCGCTGCTTGGATGAAGCCATAACCTCAACTACACAGAAAGATGCAAACATCTTTTTCTAGAACTTCTATGGGGCCGTCGGTTGAAAAACGACCTAATACTTCCCTATGAACTGATAAATGGTCTCTCGTTCTTCAGGTACCACCCAATTATGGACCACATCACTGCTTACAGGCTTAAAAACAACGCGTATACACTATTAACGTCAAAACACAAAATATTATTGCCTTGTAATTTGTTTGTAACACGATACAGTCTATTGTGGAACAGGATACCAATTGCCATCCGTATCTGTGACGCAATCACTGAGTTCAAGAAACTAGTAATGCTGTTGTTAGACTCTAAAGAGATTTATCGATTATTCCAAGGAAAGAAACAAAGTCCCGAGGCACTCTTTTATGGTCCACCAAATACTTAGATAAACCTTAAAAATTAATAACAGACCATGAACATACTGTATCCGCATTACCATCCATTCAGGTATCACGAAATAGTAGTTGAATCCCCCTGCTCCTGCTAACAGTAATAGGTTGCGCCTTTGAGGTGCCACCCGTGACATTTGAACTTTTCTCTAAATTTAAATTCCAATATTTATTTTCATATCTTCACAGCAGTTTTAGATTTTATTTCTAGTACACAGATAAATTGAAAAGCCTGTAGATGCTGATCAACTACTGTCAGTTACAAGAAACTGAAACTTCTTGTATCACTGTGAGTTCCTTCCTGTTTAAGTATTAATAATTTAACAAATTTTCATTTCCGCAATTGATTAACATCCAAAAACCTTGCCTACTTACCAGTTCATCTCTTCAGTGAATAATTTTTAACACTATTTCAACTCTTTTTTCTCCAGCTGCCAAATCATCCTATCTCCAAACTGACTTTTACCTGACACATATCTTACAATTTATTACTTACTTACTTACTTACGCACCCACAATGGAGCATGGGCCGCCCATCACTTTTCTATAACCAACTCTGTCCTGGGCTTCCCTCTCCAGTTCTGTCCAATGTTTGTTCATTCCTCTAATCCGAAGTATTTTGCGTAGACAACTGTTAATAAACACTTGTATCTTCTGGATGATGGCTTTGGTAGTTCTCCAAGTTTCCGCTCCATACAGTGGAACTTTCTTGATATTTGTGTTGAAAATCCTGATTTTGATTTTGGTTGAAAGTTGTTTGGAGTTCCAGATATTTTTCAAGTGTATGAATGCAGCTCATGCTTTGCCAATCCGTGCCCTCACATCTGCATCGGATCCACCTTTCTCGTCGATGATGCTGCCCAGATATGTAATGGTGTTAACGTCCTCCAAAGAATCTCCATCAAAAGTGACTTGGTTGGTGCATGTTGTGTTGCATCGGAGGATTTCGCTTTCTCCTTTATGCGTGTTGAGACCTTTTTTCAATTTAAACCATTAGTTAAATTAACAGTAGTTGTGTTATGCTACGTGGATATTTTATCCTACACACAGTAGGGGGAGTTGTCTGGTTTGCTCGTAACATGGAGCTGGTAGGTGTACAAAAAAGGAGCGTAGACTTGTGGTAGTACTAAATAAACATACCACTTCGCGGGATAACAAATGTTAATCCCGCAAATCTGGAAATCAGAGAATAGACGGTTCCAGATGAAGCAGTATCTTTATTGCTAGCCTCGTGATATCGAATCAATCACGAGACTA